GGGGGACCCACCATGTTGGTTCCCTGCTGTGGCTGGGCATGGGAGCCCATGGCAGAGCTGCCAGGTCTTGTCCTGCAGGGAGGAAGGCGAAGGAGCTCATCAGCAGCGCTCGGGAGAGCCTGGCGAGGATGGTGGGAGGCCGGCCAGAGGGCACTGCCTGTGGCAGAGCTGCCAGGTCTTGTCCTGCAGGGAGGAAGGCGAAGGAGCTCATCAGCAGCGCTCGGGAGAGCCTGGCGAGGATGGTGGGAGGCCGGCCAGAGGACATCATCTTTACCTCAGGGGGCACAGAGGTGGGAGTGGGTGGTGGGATCCCCCCTTCCCAGGACCCCTTGCCTGCCATCTCCTCTCAAGCAAGCGGTGATGAGGAGGGTGGGGCTGAAGGGTGCCGTGCTCCCTCTGGGCCTTCATTTTCCCCTCTGCTTTCCTCTCTTCAGGCAAATAACATGGTGATCCACGCCGCCCGCAGGCACTTCCACGAAAGCCAGGCCAGGCCGGGGGACAGCAGGGGGACACCACATGTCGTGACGTCGAGTGTGGAGCACGACTCCATCTGCCTGCCGCTGGAGCAGCTGGTGAAGGAGAGCCTGGTGGGTGAGTGGCAGAGGGACCAACAGGGGATAGGCTGGGGGCATCTGGCTGCAGATGGGGGTTTGCGAGGGAGGGTTTTCTCTGCTGGTGTTTTTGTGGAGGAGGGCGGGGACCCGCTTGCTCCATGATGTTCCCCTTTCTCCCCCAAAAGGGCACCGACTCCTCACATAGTGTCCCCATTCCCTCAAGCTGGGTGCATTAACCTGTTGGCATCCGAGGCCGGCCCCAAGAGCCACTGTGCTCTCTGCCTGTGCACCAGCTGCTTGCCCAGCTCTCCTGCCCGCTCAGTGGGGTGTGGGCAGCCCTGGGCACTGTCGGGCTTCTCAGCAAACCTCAGGGCTTGTTTCTTGGCTTGCAGAAGCCACCTTTGTGCCTGTGTCCCCCCGAAGTGGGCAGGCTGAGGTGGACGATGTCCTCGCTGCCATCCGGCCGACCACCTGCTTGGTTTCCATCATGTTGGCCAATAATGAGACTGGGGTCATCATGGTGAGTCTGTGGGCCACAAGTGGGATGGGGTGGGGACATCCTTGCAAAAAGGCACTTGATAAGGGGGAGCAGACGGTCCCTGGGACGCAGACCCTCTTCCTTCCTGCCAGCCTGTCCCGGAGCTGAGCCAGCGCATCCATGCCCTCAATCAGCGGAGAAGGGCGGAGGGGCTGCCCAGGATCCTGGTGCACACAGACGCGGCGCAGATGATTGGCAAGGGGCGTGTGGATGTGCAGGAGCTGGGGGTGGACTACCTCACCATCGTGGGACACAAGGTATGGTTGGGCTTGTTCACGTGGCCCAGATGCCGTTCACCCTCTAAGACGTTTCAGTTGGGGTGTCAGGGAGATTTTGGGTGCCCTCCACAGCTTGATACCTCATCAGTGGCCAAAATTTTCCTGCTGGTTGGTGCTCTGAGGACAGTCTTTAGCCAGATGACAAGGCTCCTGTGAGTCAGGGGGACCTGTCTGGAAGGGGAAGCAGGAGGAGGCCAAGGGCGGGGGACACCTCTGCAGCAGCCTGTGCCTGTGAGACGGGCAGGGGTCAGCAATGGAGGGTGTGTGGATTTGGGCAGGCGTCTCCAGGGTCACCGTGGCTGTTTCTCCCTGCAGTTCTATGGTCCGCGGATTGGTGCGCTGTATGTGCATGGCCCTGGCACCACCACCCCATTGCACCCCATGCTCTTCGGAGGGGGACAGGAGAGGAGTTTCCGGCCAGGGTAAGGTAGCTGGCTGGTGGCCCAGAGAGCTGGGCCTCGGGCTGGTGGCCAAATGATGTGTGGCTACTTAGTCCAAGCTGAGCTGGTCCTGGGATGGGCAGCTCTGTGCAGGAGGACAGATCTGTGTGTGGGAACTGTGGGAGCCTGGTGCGCAGGGTGGAACTGCCCTCTTCCCAACCACCTCAGAGAAGTGTTCAGGACCCCCTGCCAGCAGCAAGGGGTCCCACACGGGGAACGTCTGTGCCCCAGTGTTGGGTTTCTGGTCCGGAGAAATAACTCACTGCTCCCTCTTCACTTCCAGCACGGAGAACACCCCAATGATTGCTGGCCTTGGCCAGGTGAGTCAGTGATGGTCACGGGAGAGCAGTTCCTTGAGGATGCTGCCTGGCAGAGCCAGTATGGAGACAGCCACCCATGTTCCTTGGTCATTACAAGTGACAAACTTGGGGTGCAGGAGGGCAGGCAAACTACCAGTAAAGGAGACAGGGCCAGTCAAAGGAGGTGCTTTGGAGCACTTTGCTGCAGGCTTTGCAGCCCTGGCAGCAGGCAGTCACACAGCTCACATGGTGCAAGGCACTGAGAGGCTGTTGGGGCACACAGGGGACCTGGCAATTGCAGAGGCTGTTCCTAGGCTGGACTTGTGTACCAGGGAGCCGTGCACAGAGGGAGGTGTCGGGGGGTTGCTGACGGAGCCTGTCTGGGTTTTCTCTCCTCAGGCTGCAGAGTTAGTGAGCAAGAACTGGGAGGCCTACGAAGCTCATATGCGGGATGTTCGGGATTACCTGGAGGCCAGGCTGGAGGTGAGCAGACCTGGTTCCTGTTTGTCTCTCCCCTACTGGGGTCTCAGCCTGCAGAATATGGGGCCTGGAGCCAGAGTGGATATGTAGCCACTTTACGGGCTCCAAGCGACTCTGCAACACCTCTAACTTCTCCATCCTGGGCCCAGGCCTTCAAGGTAGCTCTCACCTCACTGATGCCCCGTGATGGTGCCCACGGAGCCAAGCACCTGCCCCACACAGCACCCTGCGGCTAGAGACTGGCAGGCGCTCAGCTGTGGCTTGGGCAGGGAGATGAGACATGCAGCAGCCCTCGGAGAGAGCCTGGGTGCTGGCAGACTTGTGTTTATGTGTGCTGCAGGGCGAAGGGTGCTGTCTTGCTGCAAGATGCTTCTTGCCAGTGTTGGGGCTGCCTGCCACTCTGAGAAAGGGGATCGGTAAGCAGCTGGCTTTGCCAGGCCCAGGGCATCTTCTCAAAGGCAAGCAGGTGGGAGGGAAATAGGACAGGGAAAGGGACTGTGGGTGGCTGTGGGTAGCATCACCTGGAGCAAAGAGGGTGCAGAGCTTTCCAGAGGGGCTGAAGGGCTGTGAAAGAGGTTATTGAGGGACGCACAGCTGGAACACTTGACTGCTGCTTGGAAGGAACTTTGTCCCTCCTGGCTTTGGTGACCCAGCTGAGCTTGGAAGTATGCTTCAATATGCCTGGCACTGCCAGAAGAGAGTCTGCCTTATGTCTGTGTGTGCCTGGCTCACCCGCTCAAGTCCAGCTTGGGTCTCCAGCGGGCTCCCTTGGGGGTGCGTGGGAACAGCAGGTGCTTTTGGCCTGGTCTAGAGCAACACCCTATAGACATGGCAGAGCTGCAAACCCATGGGGACATGGTAGAGGTTTTTCTTTGGAGGGGAAGACCCAAATCCATGATAGGGCAACAAGCCTAGTGGGAGCAGGTGCCTTTGGAAAGCAAGCAGGGTGCTGTGCAGGAGATGGGTTTGCCTGGAGTGTGTCTGCAGATGTGCTCCCTCTTACAGCTTGGTGAAGCTTTCTGGTGCTGCATGTGCTTCCTCAGCCTTCGAGTTAAGCCTGCTAACCCCTGGTGTCTGTGCTTCAGGCCCTCCTCGATTCTGCTCAGCTGCGGGATCCCCTATGACGTGGCACAGAACGCGTTGCGGCTGAGTGTGGGGCGAGACACCACCCGTGCAGACGTGGACCTGGTTGTGCAGGACCTTGTGCAGGCTGTGGCGCAGCTGGACCGGGACCAAGCCTCACAGACCCCGTGAATCACTCCCCAGCCATCATCCAGGTTCTCGGGATCGGATCATGCCCTGCTCGGTCTCTGGGTGCTGGTTGCCTGTGTCAGTTTGGGCCTGGGTTTTGGCAGGATTAGGTTTGTACCTGATCCCCAAGTCAAACTGACCCAGCCTGCAGTTTGTGATCATGGATCAGACATTGGGGAAATGGCAGCTGGTGGTGGCAGGAGAAGGAAGTGGGAATCACCTGTTTTCAGCAGCAGCAGGCTCTTAGGCCTGCTTAGCTGTGTATCAGCTTGCGCTCACAGGGATCACAGCGTGGCTGCCACAGCTCTGCAGTACATGCAGCTGGAGCAGAGAAGCTAGTGCAGGCACTGGAGGCAGCAGGGAGCTGTGCTGAGGAGGGGGCTTTGCTGCTTTGGGGCTGGGGCAGCTCATCAACAGCTTGCTCAGGACTCTGTTGTCCCCAGTGCATGGTGCAGGCATTCCAAGAGTCTCGCTGTCAGCTGCTCCTTGCTTGCCAGCATGTACCCAGCTGGTTGCGTGTGTGTTGGCGTGATGGAGTCTCAAAGCTCGACTCCCTCCAGAGCGTAACAGGTGTGGAAGCCATAGGAGGTGGAGCCTCTGGCCCTGGTGGCTTTCCACAAAGGAAGCTTTCCTGTTGTCTTATCACTCAGAGGAGGAAAGACCATCTGCTCCAGAGGGAAATGAGGAGTTGATAGAAGCACAGCAAAATTCTGAGCTGGGAACTGCCCTGCCCCTGCCAGGACCCTAAGCTGCCAAAGGGTTTTTTGGCTGGGAAGGTGTGGGGCATGGCTTTCCCAGCACTGCGTTGCGTTACCCACTCCCCTGCCTCCTGTCCTTCCTACAGCGGGAAGAGTTCCTGTTGCCGACTCCATGTGCGCCTAAAGGAAACAGAGCCGTCGGGGCAGCCGTAACTGTGCCAGCACCTGAGGAAACATGTCCTCCCTGCGTGGCCCAGGCGGTCACTCTCATCACTGACACAGGACAACACAAGCGTCACACGGATTAGGAGCGTCACTGGCTGACTGATGTCGGGAAACCTGGTCTCCCTGGGTGTTCATAGGAATAAAAGCGATTGCTGCTGCTGTGGCCTTTTTTCAAAGTAAAATATGTTTTCCGTCAGGGAAGCCGGACTGGTTGGGGTCATCTGAGCAATGTCTTTATCCTCAGGAAATGCTCGTGTCCCAGGACAGAGGCACAGTCCACTGGAGCGGGGAGATGCCTGCTGGCTGGGCTTGGCATGAAGCCCATGGATGCAGATTCTTAGATGCTGGTCCTTCTCTTTACTAGCCATACATTAGCACAGCCAGGAATACTATTTGGAATGATAAATCCCTAGATTTTGTAAATCTAATTTCTAACTGAAATGTTAGGACCCAAGCACGCTGACTTAAAGTCACTGGATGCCTGTCAGGCTGTTCAGTGTTACTGCTGCTGCTCACCTCAATCTCAAATGCAATTTTTTCTTTTTTTTTTTTTTTTTTCCCCAAATCCTCTTCATGAGGTTTTTGTTCCATAGAAAGAATGTTGCTCTGCTTCAGGGGCAGATCTTTTGTCTATCATGGACCCTATAGTTCTTGGGGACCTTTCACATCTGTGGCACAACTGGAGATCCAGTTTTTGGGGCTCTCTTTCCCCCGCAGTAGGTCTGGGCTTCCTGCTTCAATTCAGATGGAAATTTAACCACCAAGCACAAAAAGCTTTACTGACTTATTCTTTATACACACAGGAAATGCAAGTTTTAACCACAGAAATAGTAGCATTGCTTCATTTAGAATATTGCAGCCAAAGCATAAAAAGCGTTACAGAGGATATGAATACTCTGGTTGACCGTTTTACTGTTCATTTTCCTACTACAACACTGCACAGGAATGAGAGTCACTAGGGAATCCCTCTGTCTCTGTATTGCCTTATCCAGGGAAGGTGAGGAAGAACACGCCTGTGACCTGTGCTTTCACGCACCCTACGTGCTGGAGATGAATAGCCATTTCTTATATGACAAAATGCCAGTGGTTGTACGCACTAGAACAAATTCACCTGGCATGGAAGTCGGGAAATACCAACATTGCTACAATCAGCTGTGAATTTAAACAGTAGAGAGAGGACCTGGCTGCTAGGCTAGAACACCACAGAGTTGAAATATGTTTCTGTCACGTGGTCACACAGCCATAATCGGATGGCAAAACCGCAGTTCATTTAATGGAAGAATCCACAATCTCCTGATAATCTTGTTTTCCTAAATTCTTCCAGGACAGTTTATAACACGCAAGGAAAAAAACACTAACCAAAATAACTGCGCCCCCAACGAGATCATAAGTACCTGGGAAGATCCGCAAGACGACAAGCTGCAGGACCATGGCAATGACTATCTCCAGGTGCTGTACGGTGCTGACCAAAGCGGGGTGGAACTTGCTCAGGGCATAGTAGACCCCCAGGAAGGCTGCTGTGGAGCACAGGCAGATGGCAAGGAGATAGCTCCACGTTTCTCCATCCAGTGGGACGATTGGCTCTTGAAGTAAGAACATGGTGGATGCTCCCCACACTGTTCCTGTCCAACTAAAGGTGAACAGCGCTGTCCACATGCTGATGTTATCTTTGATTGACCTATAGATTATCATGGAGAGAGCAGTGGTCAAACCTGCCATAACCGTCATGGTATAGCCAAAAGCTTCCTTCCAGGTGCTGAGCAAAGAGTTTTCCTCCTTAACAATGTTGGGGATCATAACGAGACAAACGCCGAACACGCTGCCAACTACAGTAATTACATCTGTGTAAGCCATTCCTTCATCTATGAGTAAAAAAGCCAAGATGGCACTGAACACTGTAGTGGTAGCCCTCCACATAATGGTCCCATTGCTGGGGGGAACTATAGAGAAGGAGGTATAAGCACAGGTAATGGAGATAACATTGCAGACCCCATAGAAGAAGAGCCGGAGTCTGTAGCCTTTGGGGCCAAAGGGAGGCTCATGGTAATAACACACAACAGTAACAGACAGCACCTGTAAGACTGAACGGATGAAAATGAGCTCTAGGGATGGCACTTTGGAACGATCGGAAATTAATCTTGTAATTAGAGCCACACATCCGTGAGCCACGGCAGATCCAAAAAGAACTACCCACGTTTTCCTCGACTGCAGTATATTTCCTTCAGGAAAATGCTGGGATTGCCCAATTTCATTGGGTTTTGGCAGTTGGGCTGGCTGAAGCTTGGTGTCTATTGTACCAAAAAAAGTCCTTTCTCTCTTTTTCCCATCATTCAGTAGTCTTTTCTTAGGATTATCCTCCATAAATACTCCCGTATCTTCATTAACATCCTCATACCCCTCTTCTCCTGGCTGGGGATATTGAGAAGTGTATTTCACTGTTACTGTGTTGGGATGAATTTTCACTCGCTTTTTGACTGGGTATTTTTGGGAAGACGTATCCATTTCCTCAGAGAAATGTCCTGGTCTTAAGAATAAAATGGAGAAGCACCATTATTTTTATTTAATGAATAGCAAGAGATTCATTAGTATGTAAATGCTGTTAGTGTTTACAAGCTATTTTCATCAACCAAATCCAAGTACTAGTAGATTGTTCTTGGTTTTGCTTTAATTTTCCAGTGAGTTACTGCTGAATACCATTAATGGTCAGGCCGTTTGGATCTCCTTAAAAGCCTAGCATGGAACTTCATTTTAGTCACTAGTTTTTGAAAATTACATATATTCTCATTATGTATAGTACGTATAATGCATTCCAGTATATTCTTATTCTAATGAGAAAGTTCTCCTGCTAAGCTTTTTGGACAGTAAATACCCTGTAATTATGAACCATACTTATTGTTAATTGCTCGCTAATGTTACAAGATTACGGAAGAAATTTGGCTGGAGGAGATGATTGCCATGTTTCTAAACTGACAGAGAGCAATATGGGGAAATAGGGAGTATCCCTGAGCAAGTCAGCATAGTTAGCATATGAATAAACAGCACATTTTTGAACAGTACTTTGATAGTGTTAAAAATTCCTTTTTTTCACATCCTTTTATTTCCAGTGATTGATTTTGCAACAGATTTGTTGTTCCAATCTGAGGTTTTTTTTTTTTTTTTTTTACATGGGGAAAATTTAGAAGGGCTGATCCAGACTACTAACCAGACTTTCCCATGGCAACTCCAGCAACAAACCCACCACCCTTCTGTCTCCTATTGAAGACCCATTTCGCATGACACAAGCTGTGTGAGCTCTCCCCTCGGTGCCCCTGAGCTGTGCACACCACCATGACACACACAGCAACGCTTGTGGCACTGCATGTGTCCCAGTGGCGGCATCAGCCTCCCAAAACAAGCAAGCAAGCCCTTCACACACCCGGCCTCCACCAGTGCAAATGCTGCTTGGTCTCCACTGTCCCAGGTGTGTGCAGCCTGCCCACAGGGAGCCCACCTGCGGCCTTAATTCCCCTCTAGCTCTTTGCTGAGCATGCCATTGCTGTCTCCAGGCCCAGTGTTACAGCACTGGGTCAGTTTAATTCAGGCACGGGGATGTCATGGAGATTACTTTGTTTCCACAGTGCCCTCTGCCATCTGTGCAAAGAACCCTTCCAAATGAAGTGGCAGCAGCAGAAATGCAACCTAAACACATGCAGACCTTACCCGTGACGGAGAGATTTAAGCCCAAGCCAGAAGGGGAAAACACCTCTTGGTCATCTACATCTTTGCCTGGGTGTCTAAACAGAAACAGTAGATGCTCTCAGGTATCAAATAGGAAAGGTTACAATCATCTCGGCACAGAAACTAATGTCCAAAGGAGGCATGAAGCATCCTGCACGTTTTCCAAAGTTGAAAATTTGGCAAGTGCCAGCACGCCTTTGAGGCCATGCTCCTTGGGAACTGGCAACTCTGGTGCATCATTATGAAAAAAACACCACCGCAAAACCCAAACAACTTGAGATGGAGAGAAAGCAATTACTGTCATCTTGCCAAACCCACTCCTCAGCCATCTCTCAGAATTATTGATGGAACTAACCCCAAGAACAAGTGGTGGTTTTGTGAGTGTAAGGTTCCCACAGCTTAATAACAAGAAAATTCACCATCCTGTGCCTGCTGTCCTGCCTCACCAGCGCTGCGGAGGAGAGGATGCCTAGGAGGACCCATCCTCCTCCAGATCCAGTCATCCATCCCCAGGCACCAAGTCCAGCCCTGCAGGCAGCAGCAGTTTAGCATCTGTGGTGGCAGCAGGGGATGGGTACGGACAACCCTGCAGTCCTTGTCTGCAGGGAGTACTGAAGCACCAGAGCAGGTGGGTCCTGAAGGTGCAAGACTACAGCCAAGTGGACAATCAGACTGAATGGCATGACAGCAGTTTTTCAGGGAGACCACAGATCAAAAGGCAACATAAAAGTGGGTACAATAGCTCTTTGCAGAAATGCTTTAAAAATATCATGGCCAGGTTCAGCCTTTGCATTTTCTTTATCCGTAATCTGTGACAGCCAAGCGCTGCCTGTATCTCCTGGCAAAAACAATTCACGTAAGAATGGGACATTCTTCCTTTTTCCTCACAGGCTGAGTGTTTATTGGACCCCCTGCTACACCCAAGCTAAGCTGTAGCCTGCTTCTTGCAGGCAGAGTGAATCCCCGGTAGGGGTTGAATGGGAGTGGGGAGAGGGGCTCTGGAGGAAGGCAGCAGCACCAGTTTGGACCTGCGCAAGTAAGCTAAGTATCCTGGGGCACCACCTTGCTCTTGCTTTGACAGACTACGCTCCCAGCCCTGAGATACCTCACTGAAGTGGAGATCGGCAGATGTTAAGAGGGTCTGAGGACAATAGAACACCCTTGTCTATGCAGGAGGCCTTGTGCTAGCACTCCTGTTCACGTTTCTGCTGCCAACCCATTTTCAGCAGAGCTCAGCTTAAAAAACAAAGTGTACCCAGTACACTGCTAAATGGAGGAGGAGTACTCCAGAGTGCCCATGAAATACTGCAAGAAACTTGAGAAGAAACAGCTGAAATGCCAAGGAGAGCAAATAAAGAGGGTAAGAGCTGGGTATCAGCTGCACTAATGGGCAGTTCAAACAACCCATCAAACATTTGCAAACACCCTACCCGAAATCTACCCTGTCTCACCTGCTACTTGTGCTTTTTCTTCAGATAAGTTGTTAATTTCAGATTCTTTTAATATGCAAATGCAAAATGCACCGAATGAGTCCAGGAAGGCAGAGATTTTCACAAGCACAGCTTTTCTTACCGAGCATTTTCATTGTGTTATAAATTCACAATTTTGCCTTGCTGTCCCCACATCTTAAAAAGAAAAAAAAAAAAAAAAAAAAAAAAAAAAAAAAAAAAAAGAAAAAAAAAGCTTCTTGATTTAAGGCACAATATATGGATTGGGAATAAAATAAGTGGGAGGAAAAAAAGACAAAAGGTGCACAACAGGCATTATTATTGAAGCGACAGTAGATCTAGCCTGTATAGACTCTGTCATTCCATTAAGAAACAGCTGAGTATATGCTGCAGCTATTCATGAAAACAAAATAACTAATTTTTTACCATTAGCATACACTGGTAACTTTCTTGCTTCCTGAGGTTAGATTACATTTTCTTCCAACAAATACAGAAGAGAGAAAAAATGCAGTTGCAAATTTAGTATTGGACCTGTGTAATGTATTCAGAGATCTCTCTGGAGGAAAACAATAGATCATGAGCACGCAGCTCAAAATGGCTGTCCTATACAGATGCCGTATTCCCTCCAGTATTCGTCAGCACTAAGAATGCTAACAGTTGGAAGGTCTGGAAAGTGGAAGGGCAAACACATGAGAAATGAGAAAGGCGGGAGATAAGAAGTAACAAAGAACAAAGACTACTTAAACCAAAATTTCATTTTCTCTACTAAATATTGGGCATATGACAAATGTTACGCCAACTCTCACACAGTACATTTATTTGTGAGAATTTCAATGGAGACTGAGACTAATATCCCAAATCCATTATGTTTGTCCCAGACACAAATTTAAAATAAATGGAAATCAGCACAGCCTATGCAGAAAACTGGCCACTTCTCTTTCTGCTAGTGCCTTTTGTGGAGATCACATGAAGTTTTTATTTTTCTTCATATCTGGAAACATAAAATGGTTTATTTGCATTTCCTACAAAAACATAATTTGATTCTGAATCAAAGTTAATAAAAGTCTAAAGATTAAGTACTACACAAAATTCTTATGTTACATAACAAAACAAACATTCCCAATCCAAATGGCAGCCTGGGATATCCATTTAAATTACCGGCACATGGGAATCACCAACTACCAAAGTGTGAGCCCCGTTTTGCCATGGGTGAACAAATAATCACACTGGATTCAATAAATGTCACAAATCATTAACAGAATACACACTTTTAAAAGAAAAAAACACCAAATACTCCCCCCTCGCCCCCCAATTACTACACATGCTGATTAGCAAGGTAGAAATAAGTGATTATATGGGGAAGCTGAGCTCTCCTTGCTGTACCTGAAAGAATTAAGGCTGTGAGGTCTGACTGGTGATTCTAACCACCAATTTGCAATAAACTCATTAAAAAAATACTCTCATCTTCTGCCAGATCAGCCAAAAATCAGTCAGCTGACTGAAATATTATTAAGAAAGATTTGCAGACATGGCAATTGCAGTCCTTACAAAGTCGAAAACAAGAAGTCAGCTATCCCCATGGTCTGAAAGGCAGGCCTCGCAGGGCTGTTCCTTTGCCTCTTCTATAAAAAAAACCCTGAATCCTGACCAGGTTAGACTGAGATTACCAGAGGGCTGTAAGCAATCTCTATAGGGCCACTACAGATTAACAATTTTCCCTGAATATTATATGTACGAAAAACTCACTCCACTCCTACAAACCCATGTAACTAACTGAACTTGCGCCACCTTCGCCAGGTGCTCCTGCGCACAGTGCACCGACTTCTCACAACGCAGGTTTTTCTTTTGATTCCTTATCAGGTGCAGGAAGATCTCCAAAATTCCTGTTTCAGTACCTTCTCCATTAAACCACCCTAACCTTGCTGGAGCTCCTTCAGTGCTTGATGATTCAGGCACCTGCACACGCATGTGATGTCTGACTGGCGTAAGACAACATGAAGTGAGGGGGAAGAAAAGGCACCATCAGGTGCACAGCAGGCAATTAAACGTTGGCATCACTGAAACAGCCTACATTGCTGCTACACTTTTAAACTATTTGATAAGATGCACACTGGAAAAATCAGAGTACCTTTACCTTTTTAGCCAGATGGTCTGACTACATCAATGAATTCTATTAAAAATAAATGCAAAGAAACCCAAGTCTTTATTAAAATTTAATTACTAATAACAGGTATTTAAGAAAATGAAAGAGCAATTATATTAAAGGAGTTTTTAGTACACAAGCACAAGAGCAAACATTATACACAAACCAACAAACTGGCATCCCACGTCTTCAAATGAATCAAGTCACATCCAACATCACTGCCTAAGGGAAGAACCAGTACACCCTTCACAGGATTCAAATATAAACCCCATGTGTAAGCCCCACCAATTATCAGTACATTCCTGGTATTTTGCTACCCAAAACCCAACCCATATTTGTGCCAGCTCACTAAAGCTGCCACGTGCAATTTCAGTGGGATTGTATGTGACACCTTTAACCTCCCTTGCTTTCACTAACCTACTTGCTTGCCGTGTAAGGGCTCCAAATGCATCCAGTTCTGTGAAAAAATACTCTTCTCTAATTTTTGCATTCACGTCTGTTGCCTGCTGCAGCTACTACCTCTGCAAGCTGCAATACTTGCATTAAGTGATTTTGGAAGAAAAGCCACTTTGCCTGCAACGTTCCCATTCCAAAAACCCTAATCTGAACAAACACCTTCAGATCGCAATACCAGGCATAGGGGAAAAAACGGAGAATATATCAACACCTAAATACAGTCTCCTACAGCTCATGAAAATAGCTTGGCTAAATATAAGAAAGGCCTTGGAACAGTGCGTTAGAATGGGCTGAAGTAGAGCACAAGGAGGCGGCACATTCAGGTTTACTAGGAATAGATTGCAGGTTAAGATTTATTTAAAGCTTACTGCTTTTTGATCTTCTCCGAACAAACTGCATAGAACCCGGCAAGGCAGCAAACTGGTGCCTGCGCGGTGCGTGCAGGAGGGCTTGGGGGTGCGCGTGTGTGCGTGCAGCTGGGTGACAAACGGGGGACGGGGCTCGGGAGTTGTAGACGGCGGCCACTGATGGCCGCTGTCGCGTTTGGGCCACCGAGGAAAAGCCACCTAGCAGAGGAAGCGGGGCATCTGGGGTGAGACCACAGGGAGCGGGTTCAGGAAGGCTTACAAAAAAATAAATAAATAAAAAAACCAAGAGAAAGCAGCAGGGTGGCCGCTGTCGCGTTTGGGCCACCGAGGAAAAGCCACCTAGCAGAGGAAGCGGGGCATCTGGGGTGAGACCACAGGGAGCGGGTTCAGGAAGGCTTACAAAAAAATAAATAAATAAAAAAACCAAGAGGGAGCAGCAGCCCCGCGCGGCGGCCAGGGCAGGTCCGGCGCCTCGG